CTGGGTGTAAGATTTATCCTAGGAAAATAATTTGTAAAACTGTATTTCAACATCACATGCTAAGCTTTTTTGAAAACAATTTGAGAAGTATTTGGTTGAACACCTTCACACCCCAAAATGCATGGCGTTCCAGGTAAAAATAATAGCAAATAGCAACAGTATCAGCTGTAAGAATTGATGAGGGGAATGTTTGTGAGTGGTGCCCCATCTCTCCCACTCCTCCACCCTGCTGGGTGGGCAGAGCCAGGGCAGGGCTGCCCTTGCCTGGAGGCGGCTGAGATGGGCTCAAGGCTGGCAGGGCACACGGCCCCAGGCAGGAGGACACAGCCCCCACAGAGCAGCAGCTGTACTGTTCTCTTTTACCAAAGCCTTTGGTTGCATAATTGATGTCTGTGTGAACCCCTGGGAAGCAGCAGGTGCAGCTCAAAGCAGTGCTTTCAATAACCTCAGGTTAATGATAAATAGTCATGTGTAGCTAGCTGATACAGGTGATCACACCACGGTGCTTTGTGCCTCTGGAAGGGTCTGTTCTGGCTGCAGAGCCAGGCCCCCAGTCCTCAGACAGCCTTTCCTCCCTCCCTGATCCCCACAGGCACACACAGGATTTCTGGCCTGTAAACAGCCCCAGCTGTGGCTGGCTGGGCGACAGGGGCAGCATCACTCCCACCTTCTCCACAGGCAGCCCTGCTTCTGTGCTGGCTTGGAAGCAGGATTTTGGACCACTTCCCCTACTGCTCTCCTGCAAAAATGCCACATGCAGGATGAACCAGGTGTGTCCTGGTCCTTGATACCCCATTGCCTGGCATGGGGCAGGTGTTCCCTCCCTGTGGCTGCAGGTGGGGTCACTGTCAGGGTGCTGGCAGCAGCCTGGGAAAAGCAGACTCCATGGGGCCAGGGCCACGGAGCTGCAGCCCTCAGAGCCCCCACAACCCCTGGAGAAGGGACCACACACATCTCTGCAAAGGCAAACCATGAGCTGCGTTTGGGAAGTTTGTATGTCAACAGTCTGTGGCCAGCTGAGGGTCCCATGGAGGTCAAAGTCATGGTTCATGAGGATAATAGGGCCCAGGGGAATCAAGGCTTTGGGAAAAAATCCCCAGACTCTAACCTTCAGGTGCATAAATATTCCACTTGGGAAAATCTCAATCTGCATATCTATTTGGCAATTCAAGCTAAGCTAGCTCTGTTGTAGAGGGAAGCCTTTAACATCAGCAAGAGGAGCTGGGGAAACACCAATTCCTGCTCTTGGTTTCATTGCTGCAGCTGTGCAGCCTCCCCATTGCTGCAGCAGAGGGAAACTGGGAGGCTGCACTGGAGATGGGACATTCATGGGCAGGGATCTTGAGGAACAGCTAACCCCCTCTTTGGGCAGAAAAATGGCATTCCCATCTCTCTTCCAGAGCAGAATCTGTTTTCTAATTACAAATTAAACACTAATTGTGAATCATGTTTTCTTGTCACTAAAGATATCAACACAAATGCTTTCAACAAGCTTCTTGATTTTTTAAATAGAGCAATTTAGGACAATTATTGCTTGAATTTGCATATGTAGGCTACATCCATCCCAGGCTGCAGCAGCCACTAGTGTTAAGGTGATATTTTTTATAAGCTATTGAGAAAACACATCAAGTGTATTAGCACTAAAGTGTAGAAAGTGCTGTCTTTGATGTTTCTTTTTACTGTGAATGCCAAAACAGACTCCTTTTGTGGGGAAAAAAATCAACATTCACTCTATCCCTTTCCACTAAGCCCAGATCTTCCCTGTATCCTATCAGTTACTTTGCTGCAGTTTTGCTAACTTCAGCAAATAAGAGCATCCATTTCTTATCACAGACCTTTACCAAACACACATGCTTCATTTTGCAGAACATCTGGAGCCCGTCCCTCTGCTGCTACAGAATTCAGATTTTTGCTTATTTGTGTCCTCCTCCACTTTCTCCTTAAAGAATGGGGACTCAAAATACTTTTTTTGTAATTTGCCTGATTTGAAGATGCAAACATGAAAACCTGCAACCAACACCTCCCTGAATGAATGCTAAAATTCAGCATAGGTAAGGTCAATTCTAGACAAAACACTCATCCATGCTCCTGATTCTTGACTAGAAAAACCTATGTAATGGCAAAAATGGCTATTGCTCCTCTTTTATTATCTTTTACTAACTCACAAGAAACCTCTTTTATGGTATTTTACCTGTCAGACTTTTAATCTCATTACTAGTAAACATCTGCAATCATAAATCAGCAATTTTTGGTTTTTCCCCTCCAACTTGAAGAAGTCTCTGTGTCCCCAGCCCAATCTTTTTGCACATCTTGATTTACTTACACCTTGGATCCAGTCTTTGGTTCATGATCCCTCCAGTTCCTTGAGCTGCCTGGAGCACCAGATACTTTCTTCAAACAGGTTGCAGTAACTCCTGGATGAACAGCATTTAATTCAAGCAGTGTTGCCAGGAGGCAACATTAGGTAGGGAGAAATCAAAAGATCATCCCACTATTTATGGAATGCAGTGCTGGGATCCAGTTTTGCCAATATTAAGTGGACTAAAATAGAGAATAAATTAGTGAGTGCATTTCTGAAAGGAAACTGTGTACCTAAGAGGATTATTTATGTGACGGCGTGCACATGGATGCCTGTTAGAATAATGCAGATAATTTTGGGAGCTGCTATTCATCTGTCACAGTTTCTGGTTTGCTGACATCTGTCTGCCTGTTTCCAAGTCAATGCTTTCAAACTCAAGCTGTAGGGCAGGAAGATAACACACAAATGAAAGCATATGAAATTCTGATGAATTCTTTGTATTGTTCTTACAGTTTCATAGCTAAATATCTAGCAATACATTAATGTCAAATCTTATAATCAGGCTGCAGTCAGCCAGCATAGAAATCCATTCTCTCTGGTCTTTGCCATATGTCTCTCATCTATATTGACAAGATATTAGCAGATTAATTACAGTCCAATTCTGATTTCCCCCTTGTTAATGTTATCTGCAATCAAGCAATAAAGTCACTTCCTTTGCACAAGATCTTAGTGTACATGTGGCTGACCTGGCACAGCAAATAAAGCACAGATCAGGTATCAGCAAACCAAGGTGGCAGAGTTTGATGTCACCTGAGGGCTTGTGAGGATGCACACAAAGCCCTCTTTTGCAAAAACCCAAATCTGTCTCCAAATACATCTGCCTAATTGAACATGTACCAAGTTGAGAAGAGTCTGGAACAAACAGGCCTTTTCCAGGCTGCAGAGTATCAGGGAAAGGGAAGTTTTACTCTCACTTCCCATCCCCGCTTCCCTTTGCAGCCTCCTCCTCCTGAGCAGCTCCTGCCCTCCCCTCAGTCTGTCTGCAGCCAGCCTGGAGGGGACAGCTCCCCTCACCTCCCTCCCAAAGGCAGCATGGGGCACTCTGTCCTTCTGACCACAGCCTGGAAACTGGGCACAAATGGGGAGGGGGCCAACAAATACAAACAAATAATGCAGGGCTCCCTATAAACCCTCTTCCTCATTTTTCATCATTTTCACTCTCTCAAACTGTATGCTTGGTACCTGGAGAAGTTTGTCCTGGAAGGAGGGAAAGAAGGAAATAAAGCTAGACTTTTCAAACATAATATAGCCCATTGTGCTCTCAAGCAGTGAGATACAGCAGCTGGGCAATGACATTCCTGTTTTCTGTGAGCCATGACAACCATTTCTATCTGGTGCTGGCCTACAGAGTGTGGAAATACAGGGTCAGCATTTACAAAATATTTTCAAAACCCTGAAAGTGATATTCTGGTCTCTGAAGTGGGAGTAGTTTAACTGCCCAGCAGTTTGATAGTCCCTCAAGAAGAGACTTGGCACTTGGAATATCTCCCTGCCTCTTAGCAGAGATGCTACCAGAGGCTTGTTCCCTGCAAAGCCATTTTTCCAGGGAGGCAGCCTCCCAGGAGAAAGGCACCACCATGAGGAGCTGCTCGTCAGAATGTGTCCTGGTGGCACCTTTGACTTGCAGCTGTGGCTCACTCCACAAATCTCCACAGGTGACACTGGGGACCCACACCACTGACTGGAGCAGGAGGTACACCTTAGCTTTCAACTCAAAATGTGACATTTATCTTCAGAGAGACTCCAACACATGCACTGGCACGTTCTTGCACTGCATCTGTGCAGGCAAGGAACTGTGGGGCAGAAATTCCAGAGTGTTTGAATAAAAGCTTGGTGGAGTAGTTTGATTTTGCCTAGCTCTGAAACTGTTTAGCACAACACAGGGCTGAAGCTATTCAAGTGCCTCATATCAAGGACTTTATCCTCAGCCTCATCACAGGCCCAAAAACACAAAAGCCTAAACAGATATTGTAGTACAAGAGCTCAGTTCAATGGGCAAAAGTCAGCAGAAATCTTCTAGTGCTTATCCCTGTGAAACTTCTACTACAAAGTCTGGAATACTGAAGAAAAGAATACTAATCTATGGTGAAGGGGTTTGTAACAGCTTCACTAAGTTTCACCAAAAAGAAAGAGTCTCTGCATTCTGAAGTTGCCTAAACAAAAACAAAACAAAAAAAAAAAAAAACCAAACACACAAAAAACCCACAAAAACCCCCAAAACAAAAACAAACAAACAAAAAAACCCACCCAAAAAACCAACAACCACCAACCAAAAAACCCAAAAGCCAAATGAAAAAAACACCCACAAAGAAACCAACCAAATAAACAAACACACACACAAAGGGAAACCAAGAGAAAAGGAAGTAAGAATAGATATAAAGCTCTAAGGCATTTATACCACTAATAATGTTCCCCCCCAAATATCACAATATACTGAAATATTCAAAGATTCAGTGTTTTAGAAGTGTTTAAATGAAAAAAAAGATGCGTGTAGAAAATGAGTGTGCAAAGGTCCTTTACTTGATCTCCTTCCATACCAACCAGCTCCCCCTGGGGTTCAAAAGTGGCTTTAGGACCAAAATTGAAAACAGGTAACAGAATTATGCAAAGTGCAACAAATGTGAAAGAGGGCAGACACAACTTAGAATAAATGCTGTCTTTTATTATTCAGTTTATCCAAACATTTCAGTTTTCTCTGCAAGGTTGAATCAGAGCAGCCATACAGTCATTTGTCCCCTGTAGCATTTCCATAGGAGCCAGTGTGACACTTCAAGCACAGGACCCAGGCTGTGTTCAAGCCACACAAAAACTGAGCCACATCCTTAAGAGCAAGAGTGAGAAATTGCTTCAGTCATTTTTCATTACCCAGCTGTGAGCACCACACAAAAAACCAAGAAATTCCTCAAGGAAAGAAAGTGACCTTGTGTGATTGTCCGTTGATAATTCATGATTAGAATGTCACAATCCAACAACAGAACTTCTACAGTTTGGTATTTAGGGTTTTACTATAAATATTTGATGAGGTTTGTTTATTAGTATATTTGGCGAGTGTTTAGACATGAGAAAATTTTAATGTTTTGATAGATTTCATATAGAAATAGTTTTAATTAAGTACCCAAAGCTTTAGAAAATAAATGTTTCAATAAGATCTGATTAAGACATGTACTAATGAGAGAGGTATAAGAAAATGCAGTTAAAATATACAAATTTCAAGTGCAAAAAGAAACACCATTACTTCTCAACAGTTTAAACCTTCCTTCTCAAAAACCATCTCCCTTTCTCTAATAAAGCTAAAATACCAGCCTTTCAATAGGCAGCCCCACTACTTACTTGGTAGGAAAGATACATCTATTGCACTAGAAGTACAAAGCTAAGAATAATGCATAATATTTTATTCTTAAACTTATTTACAAAAATATATTGCACCAATCCATTTTCCTTTTTCCAGTTAATGTTAAGGAAAAGCCTATTATGTACAAAGTTAAAAACAGAAGTGCAAAAGCAGACTGAAAGAAACCAGAAAGAAGTTTATTTAAAATGCTAAATACAGCTTACTACCTGACCATAGCCTACATTCAGTATGACCTAAAACAATTTGTACCAGATATATCTGCAATTTCAGAATTCCTTGCATTTCTCTGCAGAACAGGCCTTATCTTTCACTCTAACCATCAGAGGGTCTACATCAAATGTAAAGGCTAATCAGAGCTTATCTTAACAGCTTCATTTCTCCAGGGAAGTGATGCTCTCTTAGGTAAATTGAGAAAGCTACACAGTATTACACATGTATTTGAAAGGTAGTGGTAAATCAGGCATGATGGTTTTCATCCTTCCAAAACACCACGAGGAAAGTTTGCTGATGTTTCAGGACTGATGACTCCAAGGCATTGCCAGTCCACAGCACATGAGCACAGCACCTGGTCCTGTCTCAGTCTACCTGCCACTGGGACTGTCATGGTGCATTTCTGGGGTGTAGGTAAGGAGCACAATCATAACCCAGAGGTGAAGCAAGGCCTGGGAAAATAAAAGAAATAAACTGAGCACTGAAAATCACCATCCACAGCAGCAGTAAATAGGAGAGCTCTCAGCGAGAGCTGATAGAACTTGTTTTGTAGAAATATTTTGATTTTTTTTTTCTACTAATCAGATACTTCTAAAAAAATAATTGTCATTTGAACATTGAAATGCCAAATCAGATTCTGAAGAACCTATTTACAGAAATCTGAAGACTTTACACAAGCAGCAAAAATAAAACAGCCTGTTTTCCTACAGATTTGTGTGGTCTGGTTTCTCTTTTCCTCCATGGCACAGAGACTTCAGCTGTTCCCTGTGCCACCCAGTCCCCAGCCAGCACACTGGTGTGCCTGGTGAGCCACTGCTCCTGTGCCACCTGGCTGACACCTGAGTGTAAGCCAGCCCAGCTCTGATTGCCTTCTCTTCAGTGCAGGCACTGATTGGAGGCATTTTTATGAACTCTGTAGGAATGTTAATTCTCATTCAAATTTGGCTGAAATTCTCCAATTAGAATAGAAGCTGCCTGGAGTGCAAAAAGGAATACCTAAGCCACATTTATTTTAAAAATTCAAGTTATAGTAGTCATGGTCAAGGTTTGAGGTGAAAAGGGGTAACTGCCCCTGGCTGCCCAGCTCCTGTACAGCCACCATCAAGTTTCCCTCCAGCCTGCAGCTCAGGCAGCACAAGTCTGCAGAGTTTTTACAAAGCCTGCCTTTCCACAGGGCCCTGCAGCTGCCAGGCACCTGCCCTCCAGTGGGTAAGGGAGGCATTTCACTTGTAGCAACTGCCAGCCTGACAGCTTTGCCCCATGGGGGTGAGCAATTTTCTTCTACTATTTGTTTAAGTCTACCAAGAACAACTTGCCTTGCTACTTTTGCAGCTACTAGAGAAGAGTGACCATTCACCACTGAAAAACACCAAAGTGAGGAGTCAAATATTAAAAAAACTCTAAAAAAATTGTCATTTTCCTAAATGCAGTGCATTCAGGCATGGCAGGTTAACCTTGGCAACTGGTCACTATTATTCCATATTTTACTACTAGAATCTACTTTCACAGATGTTAAATGGTGGTTACATAAGTGCCTTTAAGACTGATATACTGAGAATTTCTGGGAAAAACTGAAAGCTGCCAAGCAAGATGACTCCAAAATGCTGTTGTAAAAGCATTATTTGGTCCACTTTCCAAAACCCCACACTGAGTTGTTAATTACAGCCTTTTGAGCACCAATCTTTCCATTTAAGACATACTGGCATGTAAAGTGGCTCTAGAAGTCTTGCACTGGAGAGAGCTGACTCACCATGTAAATGATGACAAAGACTCTTGCTATGGGGTATCGCCTCAGAAAGATTCCCAGCCGAATGCTACACAGGGAGCACGAGAAAACAAAACACACAATTTAACACTGAGCAATCAATTCTTGTTACTCTCATCTCAGCCACCACAAATTCAAACATTAAGGCTTTGGTTCTGTCCTGAATTTTCTCAAATACACATAAGGCTTTGTTGTTGTCTTGAATTTTACTTCATGTACTCAAAACATTAAGTGGGGTGAGAAAATTCAGACCATAAAACCCTCCTAATTTTTTCTCAATCACAGAAACCCTGTCGCAATGAGAGTCATGGAAGCACAAAGGACTTTCTATCAAGGTATCTTGCTTTCAAAGGACTAAGAAGTACTACTAAATTTTGTTTTCTGTTGGTATTCGTTTCAAGTTTTGTAGCAGACCTTTGCTGTGAACACTGTCAATTCACCTAACTCCTCAGAAAGGGATCAAAGCAAATTTATTGCTGGATCCAGAATGGTTTTCATTTACTAATTTCTCTAACAGATTATCTTCCAAGGTAATCTGCTGCATTGGCTAAGAAGGCAGAATCTTGTCTTCATCAGGACTGAAAGAGTACAGATTATACTCTCCCACTAATACACTCTTACAGTTTATCACAGACACAGCCAAAACCTCTGAAAGTAAAAAATGTAGGAGATGGATGTAATGAATTTGATTAGATATTTTTTCATAACTCAGGGAACTCCTTGCACCAAAATCTGTAAGAGCTTTGTTTAAATAATTGACAGTAATTTGCAAAAGCTTAACAATATT